AAGCATCAGTCCCCTTAAAGGAAGCTGAACTATGTAACGCTTCGCTGCGCCATAAGTGCCCAGGGCGCCTTGCGCAGTCCAAAAACTGCGCTGGCGAACCCTAAACCCTAAACTATGTTTCTTCTTGCCAAAGTGGGGAATACCGGAATACTCGTTGGGTGGAAGACCTGCGGCAGTTCATGGTTCAAACCCGGCCCCATCCACAGGATGCAGAACTCGCGGACATTTTTTGCAGCATTGAATGAACTGCACAAGCCTCACAGGGCTTCAGATAGCCGCTCCGGGTCTGCTGGATGGCAGTATTTAGGCTCCTGAACAAAATCTGTCCGAGTACATTCCTGTCACTGCTAGCTAGCAAAGCAGTGCCGGCGCAACACTGCCCTGAAGGACGGCCTTGTGATCTTCAGGAGCAGCCACCCAAGCAGCCGCTCTTCCTGGTACGAATGCAGCTCTCTTGGCTAGGGTCCATGCAGGCATCGAAGTCGCTGGACCATATCAACAGGCAACTGGGTTGATTTGTCTTTCAACAGCCTGTAACCAGCACTTGGCCAGCTTTCAGCAATTAATCGATGGTCCGAAACTTCAACAAAGGAACGTTGTTTGACACATATTTTGGGTCCAAGCAGGGACATGCTCTTTCATTCTGTTGTCATCGGCACAATCCTACTGCCGAGCTCGAGGCTGAAGTAGGGGAGTGCAACGCCTCAAAGGCCTCGTCTGGTCTCTGCCGGATGGGATCGGATGGGAAACCTCTTACGCGTGCTGGGATAGCCATCGCCGACTTCGCATTGGCAAAGGATAATTGGCAGCGCCTTGTTTTCCTGGTGTTTTGACCGTTCAATCGAACATGTCGGCTACTAACACATCTCTATTGCAACAAACAGTTCCACTCTAATTCCCCACCGTCGCCCCCCTTGCATTTTCCACTCTTTCAAGGCTCCGGTTGGAAAGACACACTGTGTGCTTTGAAATACGTTTAGAAGCTAGCAGCTGTGGAGGGGTTTCAAGCCACTGAAAGATTGCTGGCAACTCAGTATCTCATGGCTTTTTAAAGGTGCCACCCCAACGAAACCTAAACCTCGAGCCATGGCAGGACGCCCTTACAAACTTTCTTTTAACCCACGTGGACCGCCCAACACCGCACACAATGCGACTACTGCGAGTCAAGAGCACGGAGGCAAATCTCTCGAGATTTGAGAGATACGCGAGAATGGTCCAAACTAGCCCTCCGGAACCACAGGCGAACCTGGCCTTTCTGAAACCTGTTAGGTTAGTCCGTCAGACCTTGGAAGCATTGGTTCGGCAGTTTCGCCGCCACGTTGTTCCGGGACCTATCTTGGGAATCGAATAGTGCCCTGACTTCGACCCTCAAACCCTCGTGCTTCCTGCTTCAAGCTTCTATGGTCCAGCTGGGCCAAGGCATGTGAAGTCTCGGCCCGAAACGCTTGCTTGCCAGCAAAGCCAACTCCAGCCCATCTTTTCCGCACACGTGAACAAAGGCCTCCGAGGCACAATACACAGCAACCGCAAACCTCTCACTAAACGAGGCGGCCCAGCGATAGCGATTGAACCCCAAAGCATCTTTTTGCCTCCCTGAACTTGCAGGATCAAGATAGAAAGAGAACACGCAAGGAGTACAGTACCCAACAAGGCTCATGATTTCCCCAGTCCAGACTCGAAGTTTCGTGAAATTTCATTCAAGGCTCCAATGATCTTCAAGGCAGCAATGATCTTCGAGGCAGTATTCGCAAACCACCTCGCAAAAGGCTCTGTTTGGAACCACTACGGCTCATTAACGTTGACGTAGCACGCTGGCATCCATCTGACATGGAGGTTGCATGGGCTTTCTTTTCGAACGTCCGGCCCCCAAGAGCACCGCTTCTGAAAGGACCTGCTGAACAGTGTTAGCCACTGCTTCATCCAAACTGGAATTGCAGCAGTTGACAAAACAAACAAAAAGCAGCACTGCTGGCAAAAGCCCGGCACACGACATCATGGGGCAATTCAACAGCCTTTGCTGCTTCGGCATGTGATTTTATGGTCAGACGAGCTATGTAAGCATGAACGATGCAAGCTTGATTCAAATTCATGTGCTCGGCGATGCTTGTCAGGAGCATGAGCCTTCACGAGGCTGTTACTTTAATCCGTCAGCACCCCTCAAGCCCCCAGATGCGGGGCCTGGCACCAGGCGACCTGACTGAAAGTCCAAACCAAATTTCCGATCGTGCCCTGGTGCGTTGTGCACGTGCGTGTTGGCAAATAAACACATGAACATCTAAGATAATGCAGAAGCATCTGAAAAATGCAGCAACCTCTACCGCAACCTCCTACCGTTCATCAGGCCGCTCCACGCCTCATCGCCAATCCTTCCTGAAGCGCTCGTGCATCTTCAAGTCCCTGCCCCTGGTTCGGACGGCCACAGCGACGGACCTTGTACCGGAAAGCACTAGAAGGAGTCAAGGGAGTCTACTTGACCGGCCTTTCACTCGTACATACCTTGACACCTTATGCTTGGGACAGTTTTCAACACCGGGGTGTGGAGAGCATGAAGATAAAGAGAGCTAGCAAAGGGCTCAGACGCGGATGAACATTCATGTCCAAACACAGCTTGCAAGGTCCTCCAAGCCCTAATCAAGGGTTGATGCACGGTGTCATAAGAAGACGCCGGCTACGGGCTGCCGATGCTTTCCAAAAACTGCTCGTCGCTTTGGGGTGCGTTGGAGGTCCCTAGATTTTGTGAATCTCAGAAGCTCAGTTTGCAAAGGGCTTATGGCAGTGCGGATTTTCTCTTTTGCAGGTTAGTATCTTCGGGACCTGCTTGTTGCGAGGATTTCATACCTCCGTGGTCGGGCAGTCCAGGTCTTAGAGGTGCTTCTTCGATCCCCGTCCTCTGACACGCCAAAGGTTCAGTCAGGCTAGCTTAACGTGCTGGCCAGCTGCCTTCGGCCCTCCAGGAAGTAGGCACGGCATGCCCGTACAGCCTGCTCAGGACTGCGGGCACTCCCTGAAATGGTCGATGGGGGATCCTAGATCCAACCATAAAATTGGTCGCCAAGTGAAGGTCTGCAACCCATCGACACTTCAGAATTGACTCGGGGATGCGAGTTATGTGGCACAGAGGCTTGAGGGCCTTGAGGACCTTGAGGGGGTTCAGGGAATACAAAACCAAGCGGTCCTGCGGTCCTATGTGGCCCTGCAAGGCGCCATGTTGGGTCTTTCCTCCGTCTCCTTTCAGATCATACGCGGGGTTCTGAATGAAGGTCTCCAGTCTGCCTTTGGCATTTGTTGCACTGATCAGGAGAATAACATCTGAAGGCATCTGAGAGCACAAGCTTCATGTAAATCTGCATTTGACCATCGGATGCACAGAACCCACGGGCCTGAACAGAAAGTGACATGTTGCCAAGGATTTGCTAGCTAGCGCCTTTGCGTAGCGCCTTGCAGGCAGACCAGCTTCTGCTATAGGCGCCGAGACGCATCCAGAATCCAGTATTTTTAAACTTCGGCTGGAGCTGAAAGCAAGCCAGCGTTTTAGCTTTCTTGCTTCATGGCTTGCTGTCTGCTACCATAGCAGTCCCGCCATAAAATAAGCAAATGTGGGCCCGAGGATGCCACGGGGAATGTCGCCCCCGAGGCACCGCAGCAACGAGCTGCACACCCCAAGCAAAGATAGGACCGTCGTCCGTAAAGGGCCCCTTATAGATTCCATCATCTTCGTTTTGAGGAGAGCGCGAGGATTACGACTTCCAAAGCAAAGGATCCGGGCTACTCTGAGCAGTTTTTCGCCTGGAATGGAACGACCCTCTTTTCAGAGAGGGCCCGTTTCACTCTTTGATCCCTGGGAAGGCCTGGGACATGCACATGTGATTGGAAAAAAGACTCCGAAGAAGCCTTGGGCTGCTGTGCTTTTGGGGAGCTTCCCCACCCCAAGTGATCCTAAGCCCCTAAGCCCGAAGCCAATAAATGAACCTCCCGCCACGCCTTGTGGTGGTCCCAGTGGCAGCCTGGGTACTGGTAGTTGAACTCTGCGCAGGCCGCGTGCCAGCCTCCACTGCCGTACCTCTTTGCACATGGCAGCTGAAAGGAGCCGCCAGCAAAACCCCAAATTGAAGCCATGTCAAAAGGCGGCGGCTGGGGATACTTCACTGCACATACATGGGAACCTTCAGCTAGGGGGAGATATGTGCCAGGGCCTTGTTCAACCGCTTCTCAGGGGGAGCGCCTGCCATTTTGCAGCTCCTGCTAGCTTTGTAAGGGTCACGTGGAAAGGTGCTAGGCGGCCACCAGGCGAGGCAGTCTCATCCAGGTTATCTTTTCTTTGAGCTGTTGTTTGGAGCATCAGCAGGGTCGTTGTCATGTTAGATTCAGGGTTTTCGGTTTTCCAATGTCTGTGGGTAATACTGCAAGGAAGCCGTCATGGAAAGCGTCAGCTGCCGTGGAAGCCGCGTTGCAACACAGAAAAAGTCAAGATGTCAAAAAGCTGGCACATCGGTTGAAGAATCGTTCACGCTCAAATGAGATCCTGAACATCTGCGGCTGCAACTGAAGCAGCTGTCCACTAATCGTCCTGATTTCGGACTGCCCAATCACCGCTGCGTCTTAGAACCCCTAGATTTAGATCTTGGTTCACAATAGGCCTCAGTTCCCTGCAAAGCCCAGCTATTGTGGCTGGAGCGCATTTGGTTGTGAAACCACCAGTGCCACTCGAAGGCATCTTTGGTCTCCGTGCTTACTTCAGGCCACCTCGATCCACAAAGCTCTCAATTTCAGAGCTTCTGTAACATGGCTTGACCTGGAGATCCTAGCTGTCCTGCCTGACTTGAATGCTTCTACAGTGCAGCCTTGTGCAGGTAGATTCAAGACGTTTCAAGCATGGTGATGTGATTTTTAGTTTTTGTTGCTGGAAGGTTTGGGGTCTGTGGCAATGAAACCTCAGATTCCATTCCAACTTGCAGTATGAGCTTTGAAGGAGTCGGCAAAAGAATAGGCCGTCAGCAATTCAAAAACTATCTAGGACACCCCAAATGGCAAGATTTTGGGTTTCCGCCTTGGACTCTTTCGGCGCTGCTGTCTTCCCGTGGAAATGGCATCGCTGACTCTACACGCCTATCTGACCTATCTCTGCATGAACAAAGCTCCGATGCACTGGAGCAAGTCATTGTCTCCGATGCAGCACCATGGGGAAACGGGCTTGCCTTTTGCGTGCGCCGAGGACAAAGCCGAGAGCCTGGAAACCACCCACATACAACACCTGAACAGAACTCTGGTCTCTTTTTGTGACCTACGTAAGCCTGACAATGCACACGAGACTACACAACAAGCTATAATTCTATCTGATTCTATCTGCAATTTCAGCTTTTCAGCGATGCAGGCCCAGGCACTGCATGGCCGGATGCCACCAGCAGTAGTGTTTCACCTGGCCAGCTCGTTTCAAGGGCTTGAAGGAGCCCAGCAAGGAGCCCACTGGCATCGATTTTCGTCAAGGCCACTGCATAAGCTCCCCTTTCAAAAATCTCTTCCCGCCCTACCCAAGTTTCGTGGCCCTACCATAGACTCTTTCCTGTCCAAACCCAAGTCCGAATCAAGATGTCCAGAGTTTGAGCGGTGGCAATGGGATAGGTTTTGGACATGAAAAACGCCATTTCATGGGACCAGAAACTTGTAGGGCTGGGATAGAATTGGGCAGGGTTGTCCAAGGGACTTGGCTAGATCTGGAATGGGGTCGGGGCAGGCCATAATATGGTGGAACCACAAAACTTAAGTATTTGTGCAGGGGTCATATGGTAAAACCGGCGACGAGAATAGGAAAAATACGCCTGGGATAGAGTTTGGGCGGCCTGGGCAAAGGTCATACAGGGATGGGCGGAAACAAACGGGCGGACAGCGAAGGCTCCTGGCTTCATTGCATGACCCCTGCACACACTCTCCCAAGTTTCTGCCTACCGAACCGCTGAAAAACCAAGTTGGAATTCAGGATTCACATGTTGAAGGCCGTAACCAGTTGTCTGGCACTACCGGCTCGATTTTTGCCAGCCTACAGAAACGGTTGTCCCCAGGCCCTATCCCAATCCTACCCAAGGCTCCTGGCTCTTGTCGCCTCACCCGGATGTCTGGCATCGTTGTCCACCCATCCGTTTTTAATCCAAATCATTGTCTGACCCCTATCTCAAACTTCCTGGTCCCTGGCTAATCCTGCCCAGGTCCTACTCCAGCCCCACCCAAATCTCCGCGGTCTGGCCCATCCCAAAGCTTATCTCAGCCATACTGACACTGTCAAGGGTGATCCAGGCACGTAGGACGTAGGGACTGTTGGGTGTGCTAGGCAAAGGTCATAGTTACAAGGACCTGGGACGAATAACGGACGGACGAACAGCGATTTTACGAGCATGAGAAACTCAAAATTCTATTCATCCTATGTTTTTGAGCCTTTTCGCAGGCTGGAATCGCTGGGGGCCCTGGCAGTACAGATTAGGATACTCCTGCTGTGTCGACAGGTGCAAACTGTGAACCGACCATGCCAGCCGTTGGCATCATCTCTTAAAGTAATGGAGACCAGGATCATGAAGAAGCACTTCTGGATCCTATGTTCATCCAAGCGAAGTCCCGTGAATCCAACACAACGACCCTGCGAAGTCTGTCAAACTAGCAGGGCCAGTGCAGAAGGATTCCTAAAGTAGAACTGCATCCGTGCACGCTATGTATATTCTTAATTGAACCAGTTAAGCCAGGCGAAAAGAACAACCTGCCTCTGGAACCTGATTTGTGCATTGTGCCCTCAGCCAAAGGTTAGGAACACGCCGTAGAGAGGGGGGCCAGCGATCACCAATATCACGGTCCCAAAGTTTTCATTATGGGGCACTTTGATTCAGCGGTTCAGCGCCCAATGGCTATGGCTTGGCGACATTTGAAGCATGCGCCAGAAGTTGGGGTGGTGCTGATTGGCTGTGAGAGCCAGGTGCGTTTTCCTTTTTAGACTCCAAAAAGCCTAAATCCAACTGTCAAGTCCCCGAAGCACTCTGCAAGCACTCTGTTCCAGGTGCCCCATGGGCCCCAGGTAGCCAAGGTGCCGCCGGCGCCAGGCCATGCACTGGCCAGTAGGCCGAGAGGTCCTGCAAAACGGGTTGGTTGGTCTGACATTACCTCCCCTCAGGCATTTTTTCACAACCCCCTTCTGCCTCCTCTGCGATCTCCCAAAGACGTCTAGATGTTATAAGTAGCTCTTTGGTGGTGACGTTGCAATATCTTCCAGGACTGACATGTGCACCTCGAGGTGTTTCTCAGTTTTGGTGTCCTCCTCATGATCACCAATTATCCCGCTCCTGAAGTGGTTCAATACTTACTCGAAAGAGCCATTGCGTTTTTCACACGCTTACATCGCCCTGATGATTTACGAAGGACGAAATAGTTGTGAGAGTTGAACTGATGCCAATGAGCCATGTTCCGAGATGAGCTCAGACTCAAGTTGCATTTGCTGTGCTTTCGCCTAGTCAGTTGGCGAAGCGGTTTTATAAGTGTGGAGAGCTTTATTAGTGTGGACCCCTTTGCCGACGGGCACTGTCTTCAAGACCGGAATCTGGGCTTCTCATTGAGGGCATCTTTCCTGCAGCTAGCTAATTAAACCTTTAACCTTGAAAACAACATAACACCCCTAGAAATGGGCACAGGCAGGGGGAGCAACGGTTTACACGCAAGTCATGAGGGATGCTTGGGGATCGGAAACAAGCGTTAGGGGCAAACGCCCGAACTGTGAGTTAAACTACTAAGCCCCCGCCTTAGCTCTTATAGCCCCCTGTTTCTCTCTCTAGGTTTGAAGCTTATAAAGTGCAGGGGGCAGCTCAGGTCCAGCGCCACGGCTTTGAAGAGCCATACCGGCTGCCAGGTGTGGGTGACGCCCATCTTGCCCACGAACGGGTAGTACTCCTCGGAGAAAACCGTGGACACAGTCCATAGCAACCCAACTCCCCTCCCCTCCCTGGCTCCCATTGAAGGGGGTTGGTTCTTCCACTGTAGCGGCCTGCTGCTAGGAAACGTCAGACAGAATGAAGGGTTAGTCCTCTGTATCGGAGACTCTGCCCGGGCGCTAACTTTCTGGGACCCTTGATTTGGCATATCCGGCTGAGCAGTCTGTGGACGAGGCTTCTAGTCATCTAGTCGATAGAACACTGCTTCAGGCTCCACATGTATCCAGCAGGTTCTTTCGATAATTGCATGCTGGAAGATGATTGCACGGACCAATGAGGCATCAGGGCTCAGGACATGAAGAATGACTGCGTGCAAACGGGACCCCAGTAAGGCACAAGTGCTCTCTCCCAGCCCAGGGCCTCTTCTTCTCTGCTGCCTCTGTAGTTTTGAAATGAAGGCTTCTCTCGAAATCAAAGGCCTCGAAGGCATGCGGTCAATACTTCAATAACCGCAATCCGCAACAAACATCACCAAAGTACTTGGGGGCTCAATCCAGAGCGATAACACTAGCTTGCCGAACAGGTTCCAACGTGGGGAAGCCGACGCAAATCTGGCCAGTGCTAAGACTGTTGGGTTTCAGGTTTGGGACTTGGGGTTCCGAAGAGAAAGATATTGGTACTGAACTGGCATCGACTTTAAATTTGCGACGAGTACCCACATGTACTTCAGAGCTACAGTTACACCAGGAGTGTTAGACTGATGACCGCTGGCAAGCAGGCAATACGAAGACAGGGTACGTGAGAGCTGCTCTGATTCGAGAAAGCCTGAACTTCTGCTGAGGATGATAACTGCGTCTCATAGAAAAGGTCAACCAGTCTCCTCCCAACTCTGCTGTGCTAGGCAAACTCACATCCCCGCACTTCTGCTCCACTTTTCGTTTGACAAGCAGGAGGCCAGGAGTTTTTGAGCAAGGCCGCCTGAATCCAAAGCAGCTTTCTGAGTTGCCCCAAGCAACTCCTACCACCCCTTCTCAACCTAAGCCAAAAGCACTGCCCCCACTGCCCCAGATAGCTGGCTGCAGGCCGTCCGAAAAAAAGTTCCCCAAGACTCTATGCCGATTAAGAGATCGTGAGCACCGCAACGGGAGCTTTCCAAGGTCTTTCAAGACTGTGAACCCTCAAGCTTGAAACCTCTTTAGGGCCAAAACCCACATCAGGCGAATGCCTATGCACACCATGGCACTGGGGATATAGGGCTCAGGGCTTAGGGCGCACCACGGAAAATCACCGCCTGGTCCCTCTTGATGAACTTGAGGACCTTATCCAAGGGGCCGCCCGAGATACAAACCTGCAAAGACTGCAAAGGCTTCGATCGAGTGCCAGCAGTTTCTGGCTGTAGCATGCTGTAGGCTTTACATGCTCTAATGGCAAACACTCTGGGGGTTCTTAGCAACACAGGGAAGGACTGGCAATGACCTGTGCCTTGATGAGTATCAAGCTCTGTTTCTCGCAGGCTCGGCTAAATGAGGACGTCGTAGGACTCAGGTTTCCACAACGTGTGGAGACGCCCACTTCGACATCTTCGCTCGCATTGACAAGTGGGCCGACGTGATTTCGGTGTATTGGTGTAAATTAATCACCCCCCAAACAAATATGGGGTTCTTATGTCAAAGGTACGGAAGGCACAGAAGGCTTTTTGGTTGCTGACTTGCTCCGACACCCCAGCCGGCGCACAAACACACGGCTGGTCCCATACCTGCCGTGGCGCCGTGCTCGATTTGGACGGACATTGCCTAGGCCTAGGCCCCGCTCCGCCGCTCCGCCGCTCCGGCCCTGGCCAGGTGATTCTCCAGTACCAATCTATAACACCTCGGTGCTCTGCAACTTCGCAAATCGCACGAATCGCCACAGTCCCATGCCTGTTTTAGGTCGCGACTCCCGGCTCAAAGTCTCGAAAGTCGTAGCAGGGCCACATTCGGTGCTGAAGGGGACTCAGAGTCTTCGACGCCCGTCCAAAGCATGCGAAATCGTGGCAGGGACAGCTCGAGGGTCATGAAGCAGAAGCGTACTGTACAGTCAGCAAAGTGGAGGACGTCTGGAGTTCTGGTGGAGTTCTGGTGGCTGAAGTGGTCTTGGAGTCCCTTAGCCTTAAGCGGTGCTCGGCAGTGATCTTGGAGGGGAACGGTTTTCCTGCTCTTGGTGTGGTCTTGTAGGGATGTCTGGAAAGTGGTCTTGGCATGGTGTGGAGGGCTCCTCGAATGAGTGGTCATGGGAGTGGTCTTGGGAACGGCTAGGGAAATGTCATGGGAGTGGTCTTTTTGGAATGATCTTCAGCGTGCGCTTGCGTGGTCTTGGAGTGGTCTTCATACTGTCCTCAAGCGGTCCAACAATAATCTCGGGAACTGTCTTCAAGACTCCCTGAAGCGATGGGCATGGCACTCTTGGGGATCATCGCTGGCATGATCAAACGGTATCAGACGCATATTGCTATCACATGAAGAAGATCTACGGATATCCTTGGTTGTTGCTGACAGTAGGGCTGCACCGGTCTGGCCTCCAAACCAATCCATATCACGAAGGTGCTGAAGAACATGTGCTTGCTGCCGCACGCCCCAGAAGAGCCCACGTTCAAACTGGGCTGCTGAGTGTCTAAATGGGGGCTTCTCTGTAGGTGACGGGATGACTGCTAAACGTGGGCAGCTACAAGAAACGGCACTTCCTATCTCAGGTAGGGGTGCAGTCAAGTTCTGCTGTAGCATGCCGCAGCATGCTAACATCAACATCCGCCGTAAGAACAGCACAATCCCGTGCATCATAATGTCTAGATGGGGCGATGGGCACCTGAAAGCCATTTTCGACCCAACCCTGAAAGGCAACAGCAGATGCGATGGAAGCCTCGGTACTTGATGAAGGGTCTCTGTTGCATGACTTGTCAAGGACACGAGCAAGGGGGGGGGGGCTAATTTCAAGATAGACTCAAAGCTCCAAGCCTTCCGAAGCCTCTTCACAGGCATGTCTCCCAAGCGGACTGCGTGCATGCCAGGCAAAGTGCTCCATGCCGTAGGTGCTACTCACATTGACAGGAAACCATTGTCGGTAAGCAGCTGAGACTTACAGTCTCAGGATGCTCCGAGTATCAACTTTGGCCCCCATGAAAACTTCAGTGTTTTCAATGTGCGTGACCATCACAATCTTCGCATGTTAGTATTTACATGACACGACAAAAAGGGAGTATGTATGCATGTGTGTATGTATGTATCCAGGTATACGTGTATGTATGCATATACGCATAAGGATTCTGCTACCATTCGCAATGACAGTAGAACCTCCTGGAAACGATGCCGATCCACACTGCTGATGCTTTTTCACGCTTAGGCCTAGTTGCTGCTACATGGTTCCTTGAAGTTGACCTGGCGGGCAACTTGCAGGAATCTACAACTTTGGGTACATCGGCTGAGCCAGACCTATGAGCCAGGGGCCCCTTTACAAGATGAAGACCCCTGCCAGCTTCCTTTGGGGTGGGGGGACTGTTGAACGTGCTTCATTATTCGGGGCCCACACTGTCACATGTACAGGCCGTATCTACCTGCAAGAGCCCCTGCAGAATGCTCCAAGCGACTTGAACTTGAGGGCATCACCTGGCTTCAGCCCGATGCAGGCGGTGCAGTCAACGCTGAAGCCTGGAGGGGGATGTACATATATGCACTGTGTATACTCTGTGCACACTGTGTGTGCAGGACGGCATGGCGCAGAAAAGAAGCAAGCTGCCATTTGGGTATCATGCGGGCCCTCAGGCCATTTGGCAGAGCTGTATCAGGAAAGATGGATGGCACCTCTGCGATCATGGCCCTCTTTCGGTTCAGGTCGACTCTTCGACCCTTCTTTCCGGGAGATGCATTCCTCTGGACTCAAGTCTGAGAGGTCCGCTGCAAGATTTCTTGTTGGATGTTGGCCTCGGGCCTCCAGTGTTCTGCCCTGGCATACCAGGGTTCTACTCTAAGCCGTGGCACAACCATCGCAACAGTCACTCGGTAGGGGTTTAGTGTGTGCCTGTGTGCCGTAGGACATCAAAGTTTGGCTATGCAAATCTCATGTTCAGCAAAGCTTTGTTCGGGTTCATTCATGTTGCCCTGTAAAGGTAGTGTCAGGCAAAGCGGCAAGACCAACCCGAAGCAAGCACTTGGAACTGACTGCGCCGTAGTGCAAAGCCCCGCCCCCACTCGCATGGGATTCCCAGGCTGCACCCCGAGGGTCTCAGAAGGCTGTCACCCCACAAGTCCACTCAATGTACACTTGGGACCCCACGACCTATGAAGACCCCGTTCAGGCGCTACCCGCTAACAGATGGAGCGCAGCTCAGAAGCAGGGTGCTTCCGCGGCATCTAAGCCCGTCCTCGCAAGAAAGATGTGTTGAAAAAGGGTGGGATTTTGGTCGCAGAAGTACCCATTACCCATAAGCTGTTTCTGAGCCGTTTCAAGCCGTTTCAAGGCTTGACACACTTGGCATCCAGACAAGGGGTGTCAAATCCGGGATCGAAGCTACATTTCTGAACATTGGAGCCGTTGTAACGCCTGACATGAGAAAAGAGCGGCTGAAACAAAAACGAGCGGACGTGAAAAATGGCTGAGATCCTCACAAGTATCAAAAGGGTTTCTCTACTGACAGCAACAGCGCGGACTAGATCACGTCATTATGGGCTGGGCCTAGAAGTGTAGCAGCAACCCCAGCATCAAAAGATGGCTGGAACCAGAAGCCCTTGTGCGAGCCTCAAAGCGTTCAGCACACTCATCGCTTGGTTGCCAGGCAGGCTGGGGGCGTCGTCGTCGTCCGAAGGCTGCAGCGTTGGGATAGGGTGTCATGCTGCTTTAACCCCATAGACATCCCCCTCTTCGAAGCATATGACGAATGATGCCAGTGCCGGCGGCATTCCAAGAAGCGGCGCCAGAGTTGGGTTGAACACAAGCACGCAAAAGATATGTCGTATGCTGAGAAGACTGCGGGCAGGAGATCACGAGCTTCATCGCCGAGACTAGACTAGCAGAAGCTATACTTTCGGCTGCTGATTTCTCAGGCCTTGCCAGAAACAGTTGGTATTTAAAAGGCCCGAGGAAGAGACCACAGGTGCACCGTACCATTGCAAGGTCTTTCGTAGGCACTCGGGTATGAAGGCCAGCTGCTGCAGCGCTGATCTACCGTGACTTGAATCACAAGTCAGCGGGCTTCCGATCTGAGACGTTGTGCAACGGGGACCGCCCCCAAAAAGGAACACCCTGAATCACAACCATCATTATCTTCCAAAGCAACAGGCCCTCCCAAAAGATGCGCCTTGGGAAAGGGCAGCGAGAGACAAACGCCCTTCACCTTAGAGGGCTCGGGCAGGCTTGGCTTCGGAGTACTGAGACGCAACGCCTCCTAACATAGCCTGATTGCCTGCTACGTCTTAGAACCGTGCAGACGTAGTAACATGGACTGAGGCACGCAAAGGCTCGGTCCTGATGCTTCAATGCAGGGCTTGCAAGAGGGGCGCAGTCACATTGGGGACAATCTGGAGACTCATCTGAGCCTTTGCCAATGTGGTATTCCGCAGGGCCAGGATCAACAAGTGCAATTCAGTG